AAGATCTAAAGAAAATAATAAATAATAAACAATTTTATCGATTTCATCTTATTGCGAAAAGTTAATAAACTGCCAAAATCAAATCATTGTTAATCCACAGTATAAGTCACATTAAATAAATTGAGAAGACTTATACTGATATATTTATATAAATACTTCACTTTATATTTATAAAAATAAATAAAATCGCCGCTTTTTCCAAAACAATACTTAGTTCATCCATTTTTGTTGCAAAAAATAATAAGTTTCCAAAATGTACAAACATGCACAAACATATAAAAACCTTCATTCTACATTTTAAAATAATAAATAAAATCGCCAGTCGTAGCGAAGCAACTGTTTGATCGACTCGCACGAGTCGACACGAAAGAAAAAAAGGAGAAAAAGGGGAAACTATGTAGCTAGACCGCATGAAATTCAATGTCGCAGTGACACCGTGAGTTTACCAAGATTTCTCAGTGATCTCGAGATCGATCGATCGCGATTTCGGGGAGAGACGCCGCTTAAGGCGAGAGCCGAGCGTTGTCGGTCGCTCCTCTCCGAGTTTCTTCGAGATTGCGGGCCTTGTACGGCCGCGTCGGGCCCCGCGACGTGGCAGGTGCAACCTCCACGACCGCTGGGTCCCTTTCCTTTCCGCCCCTCGCCGCCGTAGAAACGTTTATTGGTCCTTTTTCGACGGCAACCACCGGTTTTCGTCTCACCACGAACAGCTGACCGCGGGCCAACCTTGGCCGACTGATTGCGCGCGATCGAGGCGTGTCCTTCGAGATATCGGTCCTCAATACCCCCCTCCCCCTTCGTCAACGATCTCTTACGAAACCGAAAATTTAATTTTAGCTATTTTTTCAAATACGCTGGTGATTAAATATAAGTCATATTATATTTCGTTTTAACATATTTAGACTTTTGCATTGAAGCATATTAAAAAATGTTCTTTTATAGGACAAAATATTTTACAAATTGTATGATCTTCCAACGTCATATTTGTATACCATTGTAAAATTATTTTAATAACTAACACGGAAACATATCTTTTGTGAATACTTCGATGACTTACAGCACTTGCAAAATTAATAGCAAATCCTACTCATCGACTTATAATTAAAAAAATAGTAAATTTTATAAAAAAAATACGATGAACAAATGGTCTCATATATTGCAATTTTCTTTACTACGTGTATGTTGTATTTGTTTTTATAGTAATTACCGAGGATTTTATTTCCGTCTGTCAAACGTTGCAAATTTAAGCGAACACTTACTGCATATCAAACCGATCTAGAACGATCTACATTATAGTATAAGTCAATAAAGATTTAATTTAGTGGCTTAATTAAACAAGAGTCCTCGATAATCGTGTTCTTCATTGAAAATGTTTCAATTGTCTTCTCTTCCAGCATTGATTTGTGTATAACTGTTTGAATTTATTTCAGCTGTGTGTGTAACAGGCAGTTGCATCCTTCCGGTTCGTTTTCCTAGTTTCTCTGATATTTAACATAATATATAATACTAATATAATATATAATATTTGTATATGGAAGGTTGGCTACTTGTATTTTCGAAATATTTTTATACGACACCCTGTATATTGTTATCGATATTCTTGTAGAACATCGGAGGACGATTCCAACGAGTATAATGAACGAAGACTTTCGATTATTTAATCTCGAGATACTTGTGTCTGAAAAGTATCAAGTAGTCAACATACAAACGCAAGTATCTCGCGATTATATAAACGAAAGTATACACTCATTATACTGGTTAAATTCGCCTTTTCATTCTTTATCAAAATACGTATGATTCTGCTTAAAATTAAATGAAAATAATTTATCGAAAAAGTATTAAGTACATAGCTCGCTTTACCGACGCAAGTATCTCAGTATTGAATGATCGCAATTGTACGGTCATTATACTCATTGGACTCGTCTTTTCACGCTGTACAAGAACATCTCAAGCAAACTACGAAAATCTGAGATCTGTAAATTTCAAAATGAAACAAATCCAATAAATAACTAGCAGTTACACAATCTGCGTGTAATTCAAAGTAAAATTCGTCGTCTTTTTACAACCACCACTGTATTTCGACGCATTCTTTCTGCGAAACACTATTTTGCACGGCACCGGCTGATATATATCGATAGATAGGCAGCGGCGACGAAAAATGCCTGGCTAGTTTCCAGATAGCGGCGTTAACGCGCCACGTATCTATGCACGTAGCTTATTATTTTCGCGTTACGAGCTCGTAGAATGCCGGAAACTCCGCCTCGTGGCGCTGAAAAATCAGAAGCTGACGTTCCTCGAAAGTCCGCGGGATCATTATGTTGATGTAATAATAGTCGGCCGATGCCGGCGTAATCTGTTATTACGGGTATTTTAAAGTTTTCATTTGTTACCAGCAAATTTTCAATTAATAACATACGGCGTTGTCTGTCGCTCCGATCGACGTTGATCGGACCTGACTGCTTTGAATTCCTCGGCCTCGTGACAGTTTGATAGCAGACACTTCTCGCGTGAGACGAAAAGGATTTTTCCAATACTGGATCCTTGATTTTTCGGATGGAGGTCGAATTTTGCGTGTGGATTCGGCGAAACATTGAATGGGAATTAATTATCGAGTGCATAAATACTTAATTTTATTATTGTCAAAAACATTGTAAAATATCTGTTTACAAGTATGTTTTAATTTTCACAACAATTTTCGTTCAAGCAGCAGATGGCAATTACCTTTTTCACAAAACGACTATGTACATCGCAACAGAAACACTTGAGATATCGTCGTGACGAGTATACTCGTCGTAATAGAAAGATTTGAGATGATTTCATCGTGGCAAGTATTTATATAATCGTCACATTAGAAAAATTGGAGAAATCGTCGTGACGAATATACTCGTCGAATTAGAAAGATTTGAAATTTCATCGTGACGAGTATACTCGTCGCAACATAAAAATTTAAGATTTCGTCGTGACAACTATTCGCGACCGTCGCAATAGAAATATTTGGAATTTCATCGTGACGAGTATACTCGTCGCAACATAAAAATTTAAGATTACGTCGTGACAACTATTTATGATCGTCGCAACAGAAATATTTGGAATTTTATCGTGACGAGTATACTCGTCGTAATAGAAAAATTCGAGATTTCATCGTGGCAAGTATTTATATAATCGTCACAATAGAAAAATTGGAGAGATCGTCGTGACGAATATACTCGTCGTAACGTAAAAATTTAAGATTACGTCGTGACAAGTATTTATGATCGTCGCAACAGAAATATTTGGAATTTTATCGTGACGA